AAGATAACGTTTAGGAGCCCCAAGATTTGTAAAAGCTAAATACACGAATTGGAACTGCCGAGTATCTACAAGATGGTTGCAGCTGGAAGAGGTCATATTAAACACTTGTAAGCATACCATTCAAAACTTGATTATATTACAAATGTTTTGTGCTTTCCATGTTTTTTTTTACATAAATATAGCATTTTGAACTTTTGAATTACAGGGTGATAATCTTTTACAGTATTTTTATAATTATTTTATTTGAAGGGGTCAATGCAAGAAGTGCCTAAGTCACATTTTCAAATAAATTGTTATTGTGGCTTCATCTAAGAGTTTTCACGTAAGTTGAAAACTAGGCAAATCCCATTGAAGTAAATGCAAACTAAGGCACTTGGGCACATATTTCTGCCACTTTGAAAATACCACCTGAAACCTTACGTGAAACACTCTTAGATGAAGCCACAATGTAAATTTAATTGAAAATGTGACTTAGGCACTTCTTGCATTGACCCCTTCATTTGTCCTATCTGAAAGTCTGACATTTTTAATGTACATAAATAACTAGACAATTCATAAGCAAACCTTTTAAAGAATTATTTTTAAAGTTTTTAATTCAATTATTTTTTGCTACAATATAAATTGATTTTAATTTAATATAATTAATTTTAGCTTCTGCAATAATGGAACAATTAGACAAGATTTATCCTGCATGAAGAAAAAGAATGAAACCTTTACTCGTCAATCCCAAACAGAAATATTTGACCAAATTTTTTTAATAATAGGTAGATATATATTTTTTTATTTAGAATACATTTTTAGTTACAATTGGTGGTGGGTGAATATTTTTACCAAATAAATTAAGTAGTAATATTCAATTCAAACTTAAAATTAAATATTTAACTACATAAATAGTTTGAATTATTTGAATAGTTAAATAATTACAATCATAATCTATTCAAATAAGTTAATTAAGGGTTAATGACAAGCAAATAACATTCTTTTTATTTAAAAATAAAATGTTCAATTTCTTTAATTACTATTGGAAAATTTTAATTTTCTAATTGAACCATTTAAAAATTTGAAACATTCAAACTATTCAAATAATTCTTGAATTCAATATTCACACATCCATAGTTACAATCCAAATATAAAAAAAGTAAAAGCCTGACCATTTAGTATTTACTCCAAATATAATTAAATTGTTTATTGTTAAAACAAGCAATCTCACATTTTTATATTACATACACTTCTGCTTTAAATTACTATTTTGAGTCAGAAATATTTTATTTAGCAAGATACACATTGGGATATTAAAAAAGGATATTTTCATGTTAAAAAAGCGCAAGTTCACCATCATTAGTTTTTATAAGATTTTTAAATTAAAAAATAAACAAAATCATATTTAGTTAGTTACTTAGCTTGTTTTTACAATAAACCATTCAATTATTTTTATGCTGGTAAAACAATTACCTTTAGCATAAATAAGTAGCATAAATATTGATACATTATTTTTATTTAATTTTAAAAATTATTAGGTAATATCAATTGTTTTACAATTTAAATTGATTTTAAAATTGGTATTGATTTCAGGTTTGGGTTTGTGTTAATGGAAGAAGCAGACAGGACTTGAATTTATCAAACTTCTTTTCAAAAGAACATAGAAAATATTAATTGCAGTTGAATATTCTTCATTGAATCAAGAAAAAGACGCAGGTTCAATCCATGAATTATGAACAAGATAAAAGACAATTAATACTTAATATTGACCATCATATTGATCATCATACATAAAGAATTTAATTTTGCCAAATACATAATTACAATATTTTTAACATTGAGATTTAAGTGGTTCTATTGATTATTAATTTAAATTAAACCAATTTTACTAAAAATTAAATATCCCAAAGAATGTAATTTAATTTTTGGATAAGTAGGAATTCCTTTTTGCCAAATATTCTATATTTTACAAAACTACAGTATTGTGCTTATTTTAAAAACAAATTATAATCATTATTCCTAAAAATTATAAGAGTATGGTTTGTAATAAGTCTTGTAATAAGGCTTGTAATAAGTCTAATTATTATTTTATTAAACATTTTAGGCATTAGCCTTTTGGTTTATTCCAATAAAGAAATTTAATACTACATTAAGAAATCTGAAAATACCTTTAGGTATAGAATAAGTCAGTATGTGTTACAAAATTATTTATTTTTATGAATTACATATTCAAAGTTAAAATAATTTTAATTATATAATATACTCAAACTGTTTTAAAAGGTTGTTTTCTAATAAGGACCAATAAGTATTGAACTATTGTTTATCAAGAATTTATCAAATATTTTGATGGTTTGTAATATGTCTTAGAGTTAATTTGTTTAATAAACCTTTGCATTTTTATTAAGAAATCTTAAAAAACCTATAAAAATTGTTAATATGTCACACAAAATTAAAATTTCTGAAAATTATCGCTGTAATCAAGCTATAATTGTCTTGTAGGCATATATAAGAGGGTAATTATCAATTTAATGTCATACTTTTTGATAAATTATACCTAAATAATTATAAATTATTATACATGTTTGATAAACCTTTTTTTAAATTTCACTAAAAGTTATAGAATAATTAACTTTGAATTTCTCCTCATTTAAATATTATTTGTTAGTTATACTTTAATTTAAAATTGAATTAAGTGTATATTTTGTTAAATATATTTATAAAAAACAAAAATGTGTGTTTTTCCACTTAATTAGTGGAAAATAACCGAAAATTGTCGAAATTTTATATTTTTTGATTTTTAATGGACAATATTACGTATATAATCCTTTTAAAATCAAAAAAAAATATAAAATTTAAACAATTTTCGGTTATATTTCCTTGTTTTAAATAAAAATTCAAATAGCCAAACATTCAAATTTCCCGCCGAAAAAAACAACTCGGTTTTCCAAGCCTGCTAGATTTAAAAATCAACCAATGCCTGTTGCCACTTTTGACTACAGCGCTTTTAATTCTCTTATGTTCTGTGGTTTGCGTGTCTTAAAGCCGTGCAACAAGTGTATGCTTTTGCTTAATAATAATTATCAGTTATCAGTTAGGTAAGCAAAATTTTGTTATTTCGTTGATACTTACATACCTATATCTTTTGCGTTAAAATGTAAACAACTAAACGATGGGGGTAATGTTAAATTTGTCAGCCGGTTTCGTGCCGGCGCCATGGTCGCCATTGGGCATTTAGAAAAAGTAATGAAATAATAAGTTTAACAAGTACTTATATGTATATTGGTTAATTATATTTGTTAAAGTTATAAATTAAATTTATTAAATAGTTACCTATATAATATATAATGTTATTAAAACTATACCTACTGAAGTTGTAATTTTTGTCTACATAGATATGGCTTTCGTAGGAGTGGAATTCTGCAAAACTGATGACGATGAAGGTGGTTTAGCACTTGTTCATTGCAAATGGTTGACGCCGAGAAAATCGAGAAAGTAGTTTTATCAGTGTTTTAAATTTAAGGTATCTTTTGCACAGAAAGTGCATTATTTTGTTTAGGTATTTTTTTTTTCAAATAAAATTTTATCAATATTTTTGGTTTTTGTGCTGTCCCAAAATCGATACATACGTCATAAATTGGTTGATTAAATGACGTCGTATTAACGTAATTATACGTTACAATTACGTCGATAAAACATATATTCTACGTCATAAGACGACGTCATTTTACGTCACTTTGGTGACGTCTTTGGGCTGTGACATTTTCACGTAATATTTTGATCGATTCGACGTCATCCAACAGGTCAAAACGACGTAATGGGTGACGAAATAAATACGTTAAAAGAACGTCATACTGTCAGCTGGGTAAGAACGCAAGAATAGATTATTTACAAAAAAATCTTAGTTTTACACTCTAAAATATAGGTAATTGATTATTCTACAGCTTATATGCTATTTTGTGTTATTTTAAAATAAAAAATATAAAAATTGCATGTATAAATCAAAAGAACTGTACTCTGTAACATATGGGTAACTTATATCAAAAATATTTTTAAGTGCTTTAATTTCGTAGTCTTGACCATTTAAACTGCACACAACTCCGGAAAAAAAATTCTTATCATATCTAACCACAACCCACTTGTTTATCGAAAGATCAATACCATTGTTTTGGAACACTTCTACATCCAATGCTTTTTCTTAAAGTATTTGTATTTTCTCCACTTAGCGGTAACTTATGGGACAGTAACTTATGTGACTTTTCTTGGCTTTTTAAATTTTGTAAACAAGCCGGCAACGTGGGATATAAATCGGATTGCATAACAAGCCTATTTTAAGATTATGTTACGAACAATTTGTAAAAATAATTAAAATTGCGTGATTTACGTAATAACTTATGTGACTACTAAATAAACATACTCTTTTGATTTTAACAATAACCACAGATCTCACGTTAAGTATTTAATGTTAATTGTTATAACAAAATAACCAATAAACAAATTACAAAATATATGACACTTTGACTGGAGCCGGCTTCACTGCTATGTTGCCAAGTCCCAAAAATGTTACAGCAATGTAGAAAGTAACTTATACCAAATTGGTTTTTGGTCACCAAAAACAGGGTGACTAAACTAAAGCTCAAAAAAATACATAAAATAAATCATGTTAAGGTAAAAATCGATTTTAAAACGAAAATAGGTACTACATTGTTTATTTGTATTTTTAGTTTAAAAATACTCTTTTTTTAATAGTGTCTGTACAATTTAATTTTAAAGTATAATAAAACTGTTGGTGACGTCACCTGTACAGGTAACTTATGTGACATTTTGGTCATAGAACGTATTTTTTTTTTAAATATGAGCAAAATTTTTAATTTTTTTAGTAATGTCATTTACAATAAACACTTAAAGGAGTTATTAAGTCAAATTAAAACTATATAATTAAACTCATTGTTTCACAAAATTACGGTGACCACAAAATTACGATTTAAGACGGAATTATCCCTAATAAAACATTATTTACTTACGGTAGAACACCTTCAACATCGAAATAATTAAAATGAATGTGCACTTTCTCCTGTGGGTTTCCATTAAAAAAATAATGACATTCCGTGTTCCTAGGGTAAAATCCTGGATAATTGGGGCTGTGGAAATAACCGTTCTTAGATAGGTGACTTTTAAAAACGAAGGCACATGGGTATTTTGGCTCCTGCAATCCAGTGTTTATACCAAAATCTGAAAAATTAATGCGAACTTTACCCAATTGAATTTATAAATTATTAGTTAACGGCAAAAACAACAGTGAGGCTATTTAATGTCATAAAATTTGGCTGAATTTCTATTTCAACGTGTAGAACAAGATTTTCAATGGAAATGATTCATTAACCAGTCTGTGTCATTTAATAAAGTTCGTATTTCTTTATTGAGAAAGTTAAATTAAAATATTCCACTGAGATTTGAACGAAGTAACTGAACAATTACTGTTATTTTTTGCTTTTTATAATTTGTTTCTTTTCTGAGGGCTCAATTATGTTTTTTTCAGCAGTTTTATTTTCAATATTTGCACAATTCTTTATAAATGAAAAGTTTATTTAAGAAGTAATTGCAAATGATTTTAGTAATGTACATGTTCAGGTGGTGTGACTGCAGTCACACCACCTGAACGTGACACATATTTTTTTTTGCTTTGTCTTTAAGATTTTATTTTTTACGTTCATTAATTAATGAACGGTATATAACTATTATAACTATTTAAATAGTTATATACCGGGTGTATCTAAAAATAGACGCACCCCTGTAACTTTTTTATTTATAAAGATATACACATGAAATTTAGCATGGTTAATTAGGATTTAAAATTCCACTTATAAGAGTACAAAATGATTTTTTTGAACTTCCGGTTTTGCCGGAAATGATATCAACTTTCGATTTTTAAATGGAACGCCCTATATATTTTTACATATTTAGAATCCTGATAAAATTCTGAGTAAAACAGCATCCTCAAATTGACCTTTTGACGTTTCGTCATCAGAAAATGCATCATCATAAAGATCAATCTAGATTGCTTTAAACTATTTGAGAAAAACGAATTTTGACAAGTTTAGACTGCTGGGAATAGCTGAATAACAACTTTCTAAGGCAAGTTCCATTTTTCAGGGGTGCGCCTATTCTCAGATACACCCGGTATATTAAATTTTTTTCTTGAACAATTTTTTTTCGGTTTATTCAATGTAATAAAAATTACTACGAAAAAAGCACATATAAACTAAAAATGTACAGGGTGCGTCATTTAACTTAAAACTTTGAAATATCTCAGTAAGTATGCATTTTACGAAAAAATGTTTAAAATAAAAATTAAATGAATGAAATGAATGAAATCCATCAGTACTAAAATTAGTCCTCATAATCTTAAAATTTCCAATGGATCACCCTATTTTTTATTCCAGATTCGAATCATTCGACTAAAAATAGGTAGATTTTGTCTAAAACATTTTTTTATATTTGTAATAGATGGCGCTATAATGAAAAAAAAACAATTTTGTTCGATTTTTCTTCTGTATACGATTCTGCAATAATTTTTCTATAAAAATATCACTTTTTTTGGTAATAATTATCTTATTAAATTAAATGATTTTTTTAGGTACCCACGATTTTTTAACTAATATTTAAGTTTCCTTTGGTTTAAGTTTTATACATTATTTCATTCGGTGATAATTACCAATTGCGCACCATGGTCACTTTTTACCTGTCAGCATTAAATCCTTTAATTTAAAGGATTATTGTACTATTTTTAATAAAAATACCTCATTTAAAGTAAAAAATCCATTATTTTCAATTAATTAATTTAAACCTAATTGAGGTATAAAAAAATGGTATTTAGTTATAAATAATAATTATTATTGCGTTATAAACAAACTGTTAGTTCGAAAATTAATTTGCAAACAAAAAGACCTCCTTTCGTTAAGCAGTTGTACATAATGGATTTTTTAACAGAGGAAGAAAAAATAGAAATGATTTTGATTTATGGAGAAGCAGGCAGGAATCTTGATGATGCTGTTAATATCTACGCTCAGCGTTTTCCGTATAAAATTCGATCACGTACTTCATTTCACCGTACAGTCAAGCAGTTTACTATAAACGGGAGTGTTCAACCGAAAAAAAGAGTACGTCGAGCAACAGTCACAGGTGGAAATAAAGAAATTAATGTATTAGCAGCAACGGCCGCTAATTCTCATGCAAGCACACGAGAATTATCTAGAGATTTGGGAATATCCCAGAGCAGTGTTAGCAGAATATTTAAACGAAATAAATAAGTAAATTAAAAAGTATTTTATTCAAAAATTATTGGAGAATCCTATACAGAAGAAAAATCAAACAAAATTGATTTTTTTTTCATTACAGCGCCATCTATTACAAATAAGAAAAAATGGTTTAGAGAGAAAGTTTATAAGCTTGCTGTTTCTTTGTCTGTTTTTTTTTGTTTGAAATTATACTCAAAGAGATTGCCTCAGATAAATTTGTAAATTCTACTGCCAACATAGTAAAAATAACATTAAAATTAAAAAAAATATACCAAGATAATCACACTTACTTTCTATAAAGCTGTATGAAGCCTTGAAGCCTCTGGAGTGCCTGGATGCAGATTGGCTCTGAAATTGCAACTTAAGCCTGGGCCCATTGGACATGACAGGTTTCGGCAGATCGTTGCCGCAAAAACTGTCGATTTTTTCCATTCTTCCGTCTATATGCACAAACGCCACCAAAGAGTCTTGGTGATCGCAGCTGAACATAATAAATGGGGACAAAATTAAGGTTATTTCGAAAGAAACTTCATTAAATAATAAATAAACAACAAAAAACTATTTCTTTAAAATGTATAACTCTATGTAGATAATTGGAATATGGTAAACTTGTATTAACGCATAATTACCTACATAATTATATACGGGTGAATATATTCAGATGCCCCCCAAGTGAAAATGATTATTTTTTATTTTTGGTTGTTTCACTGTTAGTCTAGAATGGGGTTTTTGGGAAGCCACCAGGTCTAGTAATAACATCATAAGTGGTTCTGCACTAATCATGCATTTTGAATATTAAAGCTTCACGGAGGTTAGGATTTCGTATGTTTTTTAAACATCCCTTTGTATATTTGAAATAAGTTATTGTATGGTTTGACACCTTCCCATATATGGGTATACAGCACCTAAAGCGAAAAGTCGTCTAAAAGATTACTTATATAAGTCATCTTTTAGTCATGACGAAAAGATGTCGAAAATTCGTCTAAAAGATGACTTATTTAAGTAATCTTTTAGTCATGACGAAAAGATGTCTTAAAGATGTCTATTATAAGGCATATTTACATGTCATATGAAAAGTCGTCTATAAGATGTCTGTTATAACGCATATTTACATGTCATATGAAAAGTCGTCTATAAGATGACTGTACAATATTTATACAAAAAATCGCCTTATTGAGATATTAAATTTTTGAATTATAAAACAGCAACACTATCATCTGCATATAAATTTTAACTGACCTTCAGGAATCACATGCATCTATAATGTCGTAAACAGAGGTTTTTGCTTATTTAAAATGATTAAAACGCCATCCGTTGCATACAATTTAAAGCAAAAACAGATTCACAGAGGATAGAATCAATTTTTGTAACACCTACATAAATGGTTATAAAAAATATTTCTTTTAATTTTTAATAATATTTTATATTTGATTCGATTGCTTTGGATGTGTTTAATTTACTTAGTAAACTGATATTTTTAGTATGCTTTTACTAGATATTTGAAAACATATAGGTTAACCTAGAAAGAGTAACAGTCACGGAGGATAGATTTTAAACTTTTAAAACATTGTAAAAAATAATTAATTGAGGTTAAAAATCTGGAACCTGAGCTGTAATATCTACTTAATTATGAAAGATCAAAACATTTCATGAGATTCACCCATACAGGATGTCTGGCCCTAAAAATATATCATGTTTGTTTTTCAAAATGGTTTAGACAATGGCTGAAAGTGTCTATCGATTAACAGGGCTTAGCCCTGAGTCTGCAAGGAAGGTGTTGAAACATCACAAATTTAACCCAATCAAAATGCATATTACACAATTGTGTCGATATCGACATTGGATTGGATTTTTATTTATCATCATATGATGATAAATAAAAATCCAATCCAATCAGATCCAAATACTAAAAAACATTTGCTTCAGCGATGGAATGGTAAAACAAGCAAAAATGTCGTTATTGGAGCTGTTTAGAAATGGATTTTGGAATTAATTATTTTATTTTCTTTGTTTATAATATATTATAATATTTTTACTTATTATAAAAGTTTTCGTCTGTGTATTCTGGGCTGCATACATTTGCATGCAAAATTGTTTATTTGGGTATTTTATACCTAGTTTTTTGTGTGGAAATAATGCGGAAAAGTGGAAATAAGAGAATTAGAAGTCGTCACAGAGAGTCGTTGATAATTCGAGAATTAAACGTGCGAATAATAAAAAATGTAGTATTTAAAGCTGGGTTTTAACAGTAAAATAATTTAATTTAAGACGTAATTTAATTTAAATCCCTTTACAGTTGAAAGACATCAAATTTGTAACAAATAAAATTGGCTTTAAATTCTTCTTTGAGTTCATCGTAGATAAAGCTTTATCTTTAATAGTATACAGGGTGATTCCTGAAACTTTGAAATATCTCAGTTAGTATGCATTTTACGAAAAAATGTTTGAAATAAAAATTAAATGATTCGAGGAGGGAAATCAATCAGTACTAAAATTGGTCCTCATACTCTCCTCCTTATAGGGGGAATAGGGGGTAACTTTAAAATTTCAAATGGAACACCCTATTTTTGATTACAGATTCGGATCATTCGACTAAAAGTATAGTAAATTTAAAAGTAAACTACGTACACACACATCAATAAAACAAAAATTTTACGCATTGGTACCAACACTAAATGACTAAATCGGAGTCTGTAATTGAATATTTGAATGCATTTTAACCAAATTAAGTTGGCAACAATTGTGATGTTGTCATGTTTACATTCAAATTTTTCATATTTAAATGACACATAAAAAAGAATTTGACGTTTTAGAATTTCGAAGCTGTATTATTTCGTTTATTTTGTTTGTTGTTTGTGTTATTTTATATCGTTTAAGTTTGCATTGCCGTTTTTGTGTTTGTTATATATCGTTTTTTTGTGTTTCCTATATTTAAAATGCAGAAGCATTTAAAAAGTCGGAGTCAAGAGTTGGTGTCATCCTTAATACGCTATTTTGAGGCAGAACGAAATAATAATGGACCTTTGTTACCTTTAACAGCTGTTAGAGAGGTAAATAGGATTATTATTAATTATATATTAGAATATTTAACAAAATATATGTTGGATACATGAAATAATAATATATATACCAGAGACTGACTTTATATGGCAAAATTTTTGGGTTTTATATCAGAAAATGTCTTTAAAAATGGCTAAAAACATACTTTTGGCGGTGCATCATATAGGTTATAAAAACTCAGACTTTTGACATTTTGGTATTATTCATGTAAACGCCATCTATCGTCCTGTAGTTGCACTACCACTTTCCCTTGATGCAAGGATTTTAGCATCACATTGACAACCGTGCCCGATCAGCTGATTGATGACGTGTACGTAGTTTACTTTTAAATTTACTATAGGTAGGTTTTATTTACAATATTTTTTCATATTTGTAATAGATGGCGCTGTAATGAAAAAAAATCAATTTTGTTCGATTTTTTTTGTATACGTACGATTCTCCAATAATTTTTGAATACAATACTTGGTTTTATTTTTTAAATTTTAATTACAGTAGGTGCTCAAAATGGTGGCCTTCGACTTCAATGCATTTATTAATTCGCATTTCGTTTAAATATTCTGCTAACACTGCTCTGGGATATTCCCAAATCTCTAGATAATTCTCGTGTGCTTGCATGAGGATTAGCGGCCGTTGCTGCTAATACATTAATTTCATTATTTCCACCTGTGACTGTTGCTCGACGAACTCTTTTCTTCGGTTGAACACTCCCGTTTGTAGTAAACTGCTTGACTGTACGGTGATCGAATTTTATCCGGAAAGCGCTGAGCGTAGATATTAACAGCATCATCAAGATTCCTGTCTGCTTCTCCATAAATCAAAATCATTTCTATTTTTTCTTCCACTGTTAAAAAAATCCGTTATGAATAACTGCTTAACGAAAGGAGGTCTTTTTGTTTGCAAATTAATCATCGAACTAAATTGATTAAATAATGCTAAACTATAAATAGTTTCTTTATACCTCAATAATAATTAATATTTATAACTAAATACCATTTTTTAATACTTCAATTAGGATTAAATTAATTAATTGACAAAATAATGTTTTTTTTTACTTTAAATGAGGTATTTTTATTAAAAATAGTACAATAATCCTTTAAATTAAAGGATTTAATGCTGGCAGGTAAAAAGTGACTATGGTGCGCAATTGATAATTATGAATAACGTCATCAAGATTCCTGTCTGCTTCTCCATAAATCAAAATCATTTCTATTTTGCATACTAACTGAGATATATCAAAGTTTCAAGTTAAATGACTCACCCTCGCAAGCTTTGCTCGTGCCTAATAAAACTCATAACTAAAATGGGTTTTATAAAACTTGATTCATAATATAAGTACTATTATTTCAAGGTTTTTTTGTTTTAATCTAAACTATTTTATGTAAACGGTTATTAATTAATTAAATTAAATTACTTTTTAAAGTTTAATTAAATTATGTTACTTACGTTGTTTCTCTGTAAGAACCCAGCTTAATATTATGGTTTTGCGAGGATAGTCAAAGGGGCAATAGTTTCACTCATTGAATGCCAGACATTGCGAACCTATGCGATCGCGACCTTTAAGAATTTAAAGTTTTAATGCCGAAACATCAAACAACTTAAAATCAATTGTGGAGGAAGCTAGCTAGCAAAGAAGATCGACAACAAGTTAAAGGTTATGTCTTTTAAATTCACGTTATACTTAAATACAGTCCACTATACCCAAAAATAAATTCATTAGGAGCAATGAATATCCTCATATATGAGGATATATCACCAGAGAAAATCATACCCAGTATCCTGAAAAACTTAATGTCTGGGCAGGAATTTTGGGAGATTGTATTATTGGTCCCTTATTTATTGAACAAAATTTGAATGGGGAAATTTATTTTGAAATGTTAAAGAAACAATACAGCCACTAATAATAAATGAACTAGAAAATCAAAGAGGCAGAGATGATCATTTTCAACAAGATTATCTAGTAGCTGTAAGTTACAGCCTGTAACCCTGATAGCACACTTTATTCTAAGAATGTTTTTAAAACCTTCCAGTGAGAATATTCTTAGGATCATGCTATATTTCTTCTAAAGAACATGCTTAAAAGACATATAGCATGATCCTAAGAATATTGTAACTGGCCTCAGTGGCGGACATATAATCGGGCAGTTCGGTGCAGTGCCCGGGGGCCCCGGTCATATAGGGGCCCCCAGACATAAAGAAAATTCTAAATTATACATTAATAATAATTATTAATACACCATTTCACGCCTACTAAATTATTGAGAACCACGCCACCTATTAGTAAAGCTCGAAAACAAGGCGTATACTCTATGCGATGCGCAGAAAACTAACTTTCGACCTTGGTGTTACATTTATGTGCCTTGTTTTCGAGCTGT